AAGAGATAGCGAGAAGGCTGACAAGCAAAAACATTCACTTTTGAAATCTAAACAGGGACATAATGGTTTATGTAATACATCCCTGAGCCCTAAAGCCACTGCAGTGTCCCAAAAAAATATCAAATTTCCTGAGTAAGGAACATCCTGAATGCATCAGCAATTTAGTCCTAACAGCAATAAATAAAATGCTGGATTATACTCGGCAAATTTAAATCTTGAAATATATTAAAATCAAGAGAACCTTCACTGCAGCTATGAGATAATGTTATTTAACATAAAATTATGATATATTTTAATCAATCTCAATCGACTGTGAAAGCCTTAAATTATAAAAATTGTTAGAAAATATACAAGTGGGGTGCCGGATTTCTGCTCCTTTACAACATCAGATTATCAAAGCAATATTATCACCTTTATAAGATGCATTCAGTGTCATTGAACTACAATGCTCACCTCTATGTCAGAGATGGCAGAGTTGAGTGTGCATGACCAGTTGACCAGTCTCTTGCTCCTGTAGATCACCCCCTCCTCGTGCATGCGGACAAAGGCCTCTTGAACTGCATAGGAGAGTTTCTAGACAAAACACACAGAAATTGATAATAAGGACTATTTATTTAGTCGAGTTAGAACTAGAATCCATTCACTTTAGTTCAGTGTTTTCAGAAACTCACAGGGTCCATAGTAAAGCAGGCTCTGTCCCAGTCCAGAGAGGAGCCCAGCTTCTTCAGCTGGTGGTAGATGCGGTCTCCCTTCCTTAAAAAGCAAATGTAAAAAAAAGTTATTGTTGTGTCTTTTTTCCAACGTTTATCCAAGTTGAAAACTCTGACATCCTTTTCTAGTGTTTCCTTTACTCACTCGTTCTTCCACTTCCAGACCTCCTGGATGAAGTTTTCTCTGCCCAGATCATGACGACTCACACCCCTCTCTCTCATCAGCTTCTTCTCTACCACAACTTGGGTGGCGATACCGGCGTGATCACAACCCGGATTCCACAAGGTGGTCTCACCTCGCATCCTGTGCCTGGACGGACGAGACACAGTAATTCAGACACACAGCTTCCTCGTCACAACAAGAAAGATTGAAATGAAGAGACAGAAAACCCATAACGGACTGCTTGAAAACATAACGTTAAACTTCAGGCGACTGTAGTTACCATCTGGTGAGACAATCCTGGATGGCGTTGGTGAGCGCGTGACCCAGGTGGAGTGACCCGGTCACATTAGGGGGAGGGATGCACATCATGAAGGTGCCACGAGGGTTCTGCTCAGCGAGACTCTTCCTCTGCACAAAAACAGTCATTATCATTAAGACAAAGAAAGATACTCTATGTGTGTTAGTTTACATTTAGCACAAAGGGTGGGGGACTCCCTTACCCCATACTCTGGCTTGAAGAATCCCTGCTTCTCCCACCATGGATACCAGGCAGCCTCCACATAGTGAGGACTGTAGGAGTCAGGAAGCGGGCTAATGACATCTGTAAACAATAAAAAAAAGAGAGACAGGGTTGACTTTGGAGCTGAAGCTAATCCCCTTAAAGTTTAACACACTATTTATTAAATAGAGGTGACACTTATACTACTAATTTAAGTATAATAAAATCCCCAGTGTTGCCTATAAGAGGCAAAACAACCTGCTGTGACTGATAACACAGAAGAAAAGGTCAATATTATCAGCGTTGCAGTGGGTGGTCTGTGGACTTGTGTACATGGATTGCAACCATGAGGGAATAATGAAAGTCTGGACAAACCCTGAAGTCCATATTTTAAATACTGTGACGTCACGTCACTTCTGTTAAAAGAGAAGAAAAAAAACACACACAGACAGATTTATCACCTTTTTTCTCCCCAGGAGCAGTTTCAATCGTGTATGAGATCACACCCAACTCCTTCTTCTCAGGTTTGGCCTTTTTCTAAGACAAAATAACACAAAACATGTGATTTTAATTTCAGGTAATTTTAAAGCATGCTAAAAATATTTGTTTTCATTTTTCGCCACATGTGATTTTTCAAAGCTTGATTAATATTTTAAGAGTCTCCATACCTCTACTGTTGGCTGTGTCTTTTTCTTGGCCTCCATGTCCTTCTTTTGCTGGAACTTTTCCAGCTTTTCCTTCTTCTTCGCTTCCTTCTTCAGCTGGGCTTCTGTCTTTGGTGGGCCTGAAGGAAATGGGAAATACATCAAGAAAAATAAGTATAAGGATTTCCTAAAAACAAAAACAAAAAAATCAACTTCACATGGCATTTTCTGACCATTATCTGTAGCACCATCGGATTTAACAGCAGGAGGGGCTTTAGCAGCATTAGCTTTTACAGCAGTTGCAACAGCTTTTGTCTTTGGAGTAACTGGCACCATCTTCTCACAAAGAGTGATCTTCCCCAACACCTTCAGGAACCTGGGCTGATTAATGCAGGTTGTGAACCACCTGGTGACATTGATCAAGACCTTCCTGTCTGCCGGCTCCAATACCTATAAATATAAAGAATGAAAAATTAAATCAGACCTATACTGCACTTTTTTTTTAAACCATATAGTCAAAGGTTTAGAGGAACTATTAAAATATTATTATCATAACATTTTTATTAATATTATAATTTGGGGTTTTTTGATCCTTTAATCACTTGTTTCTATTTCTTTTACTGCTCTTACCTTCTTATTGCTATAATCTTTTTTTTTTTTTCAGCTCTTTTAGTTTCTTACATATTTTTTAAATCTTTGGTCCTCTTGGTCTCAGCTCTTGTTGTTGGGTTCTCATGTTGCCTGGGTTCTTATCATGGTTCTTGTGATGGTCGGGGTTATATATGTCTGTTGGGTATCGTGCACTTTGGGTTCTTTTCTGTTGAATTGTATTTAATTATTTTTAGTATTTTGCATCTGTTATATTCTTGCTGTTGTTAATGTTCTTCTGTGTTTGGTTTAGTTTGCTTTGTTCTTGTTTTTGCTGTTTGTCAAAGCACTTTGTAAACCTGTGTTTTTAAAATGTGCTATATAAATAAAATTATTATTATTATAAAAACATATTTAGAAATGATCAACTGTAAGTGGAAAAACTTTTACAACAACAAAGTGCTGCACAACATACGTACATATTTAAAAGGTAGAAGAACAGCAGCAGCTACAGCCAAATCCGCCAAAGTGATGATCTGCCCCACCAAGTAGGTCCTTGGTTCCAGTGCCTTGTCAAGAACCTTTAGTACACGCATCAACTCTGCACGGGAACTCTGCTGAAGCTGAGAGCAAACAAGTCACATTTGAGAGATAATAATTAATCGAAAAACATCACACATGCAAGTGTCCAGACGCTTCTCTCACCTTTTTATCCACTCCCATCATCCCCATCAGAGGGAAGACCACTGCACAGGACACCGGGGTGAGCTCATTGTCAGCAAAGCTTAGCCACTGCCACACCTGGCTCTGCTGCTTTGTGTCTAAGCCAGTCCTCTTCCCCTGTGAGGCCAGGTACCACGACACAGCAGTAGCCCCACTCAGGACGGAGTCACTTTCTGAAGCATCGAGCACCACGGCCGGTCTGGACCAGGCATTCAGGGATGCAGGAGGGTCCTCTGTGATGATGTTCAAGCTGGACGGATAAAACTCTGCAGCTATGAGGGCCAGTAGACTCCTGAAGTCATCAGGGTGAGGGGATACGTAGAGAGTGGCCATCTCTGGAAGAGACACAAGCAGGTGCTCTCAGTTAATAGTGTTGGTATAACAGGTCTGCCTCTCATGCTATTAAAGACATTCTGTACATGCCTGACTCTGGTGGAGAGGGTGTGTCTGCAAGCCATTAGTTAAATGGTTCAATTCAAACTAGCATCTGCGATTACGTTAACAAAGATTACGAGGAAGTGGATTAAACATGTATTTATAAACGTGTTGTGTATACTGTGCTTCCCTAAATCACCTATACAAAGAGTCAGACAATGGCTATGCTGGCTGGTTAGCTATGTGTTTATCTATCGGCAGCTGGTTTGCACCACCAGTCAAAGGCTGAAGAAGTCATGCCACACAGCTAACTAGCTTTTAGTGAGTCAGTCAAACTATTACTCGTGTTTCTCGGGTCTATGGCAGCGCTACACGTGTTCACATAAACTGACATTGTTTAAACTCGTTACTAAAGTTACAGTTCAAGAAGCCTGCGACATGTTTTCTGATAAATATGTGCAAGAAGTTGTCCATACCTTAAAACTGAGAGAGACGTCAGGTTAGATTAGCATACACAGCAGAGCCACATGAGCCCTCTTCGCTACTCGTCCGTCTGATGCAACGAGACTTAACAAAGAGTTCCGGGTTTGATCTACATCCGGTACAACACGGAAGTCTCGTATATATTTTTTTATTTTTTTATTTTTTTAACCAACAATAATAACAAAGGAGAAAAAAAAAATAACCACCTTAATCCGGCTTTTAATTTGCAGTAATTGTATAGCCTCAACATTTGTGTCATTTTTTTTGCATTAGGTTTATCTCTGGTATTTATTTTTCTTATCCAACTTTCACTCAATAGCTTTCCTGCGGGTTTTTTATGTTTTTTTTGTACTGCATTCACTTTTATTTTATTTATGTTTCAATTATTGTATTACCATCTTTATTGTTTTAGTCTGTTGTCAATTGTTGTCAATTTCTGTTTTTATTTCCTGTCCATTGTCATTCTTTCGTGATGCACTTTGGGCTACATGCTTCTTTTGTATGAAAAGTGTTTTACAAATAAGGTTGAGTTGAGTATTTTCTTATGAATTTTCAGTGCAGAATAAATAGGAAGTTAATTGAAAAATACTCTATAAGCTACATCAATATGTTATTTTATTATATATTTTACTTTTAATGCTCTGATGTCCTCAATACATTTTTAAAAATAAATTATTGAATTGTAATTGTATACATTTATTTTATTCCTTTTCTTCTGAGCAATTATAGAAAATAACAGAACAAACGTGTTCTGTCTTGTTCAGATGGGAGAAATATTTCATACACAATAATATAAGAAGACAAAACCAGTAGAATAAGCCAACCATTTCTTTTATTCAAATGAACATTTTAGCAAACATTAATCAACATTGATCAAACAAGAATTATATATTGAATAATTACATCCAAAAGCTTTGTGCACAGTGTTTTTCAAATCACAGTTTGGGACAGCTCTTTGACATCCCAGCTCTTAAATACAGGAGATTATTGGAAAGCCAGCAACAGTGATGTGTAAGACCTACAGTGTAAAAATATGTATTCATTGAATCCTTCGAAACAGCTAAGGCATATCACATGACATCTGATTGAAAAAGGTTGCCCTTTTTCCACACTCATTTATGTGCTTGAGACATTTACAAACCAAACCTTCAGATACACTTTGGAAAGTTTGCTGCTAACGGCATCAAGAGAAGTTTGAACTTTCCTCCACTTATCACTCAGACTCCTCTCCAAAAGCTCCTCTCACCGCACCAATGATCATATCAACTATCCCCATTATTATTCCCCCTCCCATACTAAACACTTTACCCACCCCATTCCCACTTCTCCAAGCCAGCCTCCCAACCCCTCCACCTACAGCTTTGGCCTGACCCCCCATCTCTGACACAACTGTGCCTACATACCCCTCACTCTGCTCCCACAGCCGCCCTCCAAAAAACTTGGTCACCCACCACACATTATCCAGCGCACCGCCAAAAATCCCCACTGTGTCTCCAGCCAGAGTCCCGATTCCAGTGACCCCTGTGTGACAGCTGTCAAACAAGGCCCCAAACATAGAGGAGGTGCAGAAGTAGGTATTGGATAGACAGGTTTCTCCAATGCCAAGTAGCAGGTCTGCAGCTGAGCCCAGCCAGGATAAAAGATCAGACGTCAAGAGGTGGAAAAAGGAATAAGTCTCTCCAGGCAGGGCGGTTAGAACTCCAAGGTCTTCCTGAAGAACATACGTCACCTGAGTGAAAATAAGGCAAATATTAGGGGTTTAAAAGGGATATGAAGATGTGATAAATGACAGGACACAATCACCTGAGAGAGAAAAAACAAGTTTTTGTTCTATTTGCCACACCTCATTCCAGTCTCTGGGAGGAGAGAAACCAAATGAGTAGATTTAGGAGACAACTCTTCACAACCTGACAAACATTAACTTCATCTCGTAAAAAACATCTCAGTTTTTAGTCACTGTTCTACATCTACTTTGTATGTAAAGTGTAATTGGGTAACTTTAATTGTTATTTTGTACAATATAGTCTAAATAAAAACTGAACTGATTGTTGAATTGAATGTTTTGTTTCATGAGTTATTTGAGGACTTTTCTAAAACGTTGACAAAAAATACTCACATGAGGTAATAAGCTATGACTAGAGAAATGTCTGCTGCTATTTTCTATCTTTGTTTTGGTATTCATCTAAGTTTTTAACCAGTAATAAAACAGACTGAAATTAATAGTGATGACTCTTAATGAATGACAAAAGCAAACAACAGCATCAGTTATTTCTTCATTGTCGTTTGTTATGCCTGTTACTGCTGTTGTGGGTTAGGTGTGAGACAGGCCTTTATTTTACATTTTCCACAGCAAAGATTCAGACTGCATGATGATTTATTTATTTTTTTCAGAAAAAACTGCCTACACTTGACAGCTCCAGATCAGCGAAGAGATAAGACGCAGCACTCTGTCCACAGCGGCCACAAAGTTGACATAAAGCGAAAGTTCTCACAAGAGCTTTCATTTTTAAAAGCCAATTTGCTGGACTTTTCTATTTGAAATTAAACGTATGTTGTAAAAAACTTCAAATGAGTTGAGAACATTTTCTTAAGAACTTGTAGTTCAAGTACAAGTAACCAAGTAATCTCCTGGTTATATGTTAAATAGTGCTCTAAAGTGTTCTAAAGTGCTCCCCCAGCCTTGCTCTCTCCTTAGTAAAATAAATCTGTCGACACAGATGAGTCATTCGTTTCACCTGTCCAGGTAACTGTGTGATGGTTGAGAACACCGGCCGCAGTGGAGCTTTGATAATGGACATGGCGGAGGAAAGGAGGTAGACTAGTGTGCTGCTGGAATTTGTGTCTGTCTGTTGTTCATCCACAGTTTCAGGATCAGCTGGCGACTCGGGAGACTCTGATCCAGCACTTTCTGAGAGTGTGACGTCCTGCTGCTCATCGTTGCTACTCTCAGTTTCAGAATGATCTGACGTTTCTTGTGTGACATCAGCAACATCAGCTTCCTCTGGCTGAGCATCAACAGCAGACGCCTTTTCTTCAGCGCTCTGTGCCTCTCTGCTTTCCTCAGTGTGTTCATTTAAGTCTTGGCTGGTTGTATCTGAACTGACCTCCTCTTCTTCAGTGGCTTGTCCAGCAGTGTTTGACACTACATCTTCAGCTTCATCAGCTTCATCAGCAGGATCAGCTTCATCAGCTTCATCAGCAGGATCAGCTTCATCAGCTTCATCAGCAGGATCAGCTTCATCAGCTTCTTCAGCTTCATCAGCAGGATCAGCTTCATCAGCTTCATCAGCAGGATCAGCATCTTCTATATTTACATCTCCTATATTTGTAACAAGCTCCTCACTGTGAAGGCCTGCTGTGATGTCAACAGACTCCCCATCTGCTCCTCCACAGCTCTCTGAGAACAGCTCTCCCACCCCCAGGATCTCCTCCAGCTCCTTCACACTCACGTGCTTCTCCCCTTCCTCTGTCTCTCTGATTAGCCCCACACTGAAGCCACTCTTCCCCTCGGGGACAGCACAGCACACTGCCAACCAGAGCGGCTGAGTCTGACAGTCCTCGCCTCCATCCTCAGCAGCCCTGAGACCTCCCGCCCCAGTCAGGATGTAGAGATTTCCCCCTAAAGCGCTGCACTGTGGAGTTAGGCTTGTCTGGACCACTGTTGTGACTGCTGAGTCCCAGTGTTGAAGCGGGGAGTCAGTGGGTGAGACAGGATCAGAGAGATCCCCGCCTCTTTTGAGAAGGGCTGGTACTGCGACATCTGTGTTGTCATCTTCTTCCTGTGTTAAGCAGAGACAACAGTCAACAAAAATGATAAAACATAATATCTGAGTAGTTTTTGGAGGTGAAAATGCTCTACAATCTTGATTTACTTTCTACATATTTCATTCTGAGTTCATGTAGCTGACAGTAAACTATGTAAACAGCAGTGGTGGAAGATTTCAGACTGACAAACTTAAATAAAAGTATCAATACACCAACCAACAAACTTATGTCTATGACAATTAAGACCTGATTTCAAAAATGTTACTTGAGTTCAAATTCCTCAGTATTATCCACCAAATACATGTATAGTACAATACATAAAAATGACTTTCTCTTCAGAAAATAAGCTTTGTGCATGACATGTTTCAATACAAGGATTCATCAGAAGCTGTTTAATGTTGTCACAAAGTGGATGCGGAAAAAGATTGAACTACCTATATACAGTTACAGTATGAAGTCAAATCTTATAGGTCAAACCAGAGATAACTCTCAGGGATTTTTGAGATGTAATTAATGGGTAGAGGAGAAGAATAAACTAAGCCATGTTACACATATTTGTATTAACTTCTTTTCATGTTGAATGGTTTGCTTTTTTTGATAATCAATATGAAACAAGGCCTTTTACTGCCTGGAACAATTATTTTTTAATAAACGAGTCAGTCATATGTCAGACACTTAAGTTAAAAGTACCAAAAGTGCAAAACAGTATTTTAGCACAGTAGATGAGTTAATGCACTGTTAATTACTACCACTGATCTACTACATGCATGTTTGAACATGATTATGAAAAACAGGTAATATTTCTTTAAAAAGCACGATATCCGCGTCCTTACCACAGCCTCTCCCCCACCCTCTCCCTCTGCCCCTTCATGGCTGAGATGGAAGGCAGAGTAGACAGCTGTGTCACAGGTCGGTTTGGACAGAGTGGCAAACGTTTGTCCCCCCGGCAGTCTGTGGCAGAGTGGGCGCAGCAGCGGCCCTGCAGAGGTCCCTGAGGAGGCGTCTGTCTGTAGAAGCAGTGGCTGCAGAGGCTGAAGTCTGCCTCTGAGTTGTCCCCATCTGGAAGAGACAGGACTGGGCCTAGCACTGCCAGCAGCCACACAGACGCAGCAGCTGCTGCACTGACAGCAGCAGGACGTAGCATGGTGGTGGTGAGCTCAGCAAATCCCCCCTTCTCACTCTCTCTCTCTCCCACACACACTGAGCGAGGGGGAGAGGCTAATAAAGTATCCAGGGGTTTCTGTGTATAGATGGAAAAGATAATGTTGCCAGAGATGATTGCTGATAGCTTCTTGTTTTCCTTCACTCGCTCCTTGCTCTCTCCTCCAACTGGACTCCAACCATGTCTCTCTTCTCTTAATGTCAGCTGTATTCTGAGAGAATGAATCTCTGCTGCAGGCACAATCTTGCTTACTCCTTCATTTCCCTTTCCCTGACAACCTCACCCCCACTGTCAGTTCCACCCCTCTGTCTCACCCTCTGGCTCACCCTCTGGCTTTACCTCCACTACACCCCTCCCTCGTATACTCTCTATGGTTACACCTTTAACTCCTATTGCTGTTAGGTACACAAGCCAGGCCCACACCCATTAAATGCTGTCAATTACCTGAAAGTCTGCATTCCAAAACTATGGTCGTTTTACAACGTCAGTCCTTTGATTGAAGCACTCCTGTTGTCCCATTATTCTTTGTAAAGAACATTCCTGAAACTGCTGACTCTGCATGAAGTCCAGCAGTTGAACTACTTCCATATCAAGCAGGAATACTCACCCAGGACTCCCTCTTCTAGTGAGCAACTGAGCTCTAAATTTAACAATGTCAGTTCATGAACTCCTCATTAAGCTTAATCCTGACAGTGTCAAAGTCGCGGGTCATTGTCTCACCAGGACTGCAGCAACTTTTTAACAACCATCCCAGACCAAACACACTCCCTCTCCTGGCTTGCAGACTGCAGGTGGCATTGCTTAATATTAGAAACATGCCTGTTGAGACATGATGCAGGCATGGACTGCTCATAACAAGATCTTTACGTGGCAAATTATCATGCAGTCTCACTGCCTAGTCCTATGTATGTGTAAAAGTGAGTAGAAAAATATCCAGCCCTCTTTTTGAAATCAAGAGGAGGAATCCAGTCAGTCTGCCCTCACATTGTCTATTGGCTAACATGAGCCAAATGCACCCCTGGGACTGTGTCAGAGTCATGTGACGAGAGGTCGAGCAAGCAATGAAAAAAACATGTGCCGTGATAAACATTGTCAGTTTAAAAAAGCTGTCATTTATATCTTCAGTTTAGAAAATGTATTCAGTAAACTTGTCCTGCAAGCAATAGATTCATGCAGCAGCAGCAGCAGCATACCTCAGTGACTGACAGCAGGTCTGGAATGGGAGTATTATGGGTGTGTTTTTTTGGGTGGGGCTTCAAGTCATACTTAAAGTTGTGTTGAACACTTACATAGCATTTTTTATAAATCTGAAATGTTTATATGAAAAATGTTTTTAGAAGAAACGTGTCGTAGTAAAACGCCCTGTATTTTGTGTAGTAGGCAGGATTTGGGAATAAAACCTGACACATCATTTAAATAAACAAAAATCTGCTTGTAATCTAAAATGTTGACATTTTAAGGTTATTGTCTGACACACACAATTTTTATGGGTGCAAGAATGTGATATTTTCACAAACATAACGTAGCTTTGATATATGGCAACTTTTATAGGAAAAAAACACAAAGTAGATCAAACCTGCCTGTCACAACAAAGATGATGCAACGCTTGAGATCTATTTCCTAATAATAAAAAAGTTACCAAATAATGTACAAAATGTTTTCATAGATTAAAATGTATAACATAATTCGTAAAAAAAACATTTATCAGGGAGAATTATTGACAGTGATCTTGCAATACTGAAAAAGTCCACAGGGGGGAGCCTGGCAGCTTTTTTTTGAAAATGTGAAATGGGTGACTTAACACAGAAAAACATTAAGTCAAATGCCATTTACTCTCACACATACAGATTACAATACTTTAATCCCTCTGCTAATAAATACATCCAAACACACAGTCAGGCTCACTCATTGGGAATGTCAATGACTAGTTCAGCTTCATCTCCCTCCCCTCTGTCTTCGTCTCCTCTGTCGCTGTCTCCATCACTCTCTCCCTCCTCTTCAGCCGCATCTCCACTGAGCATCTGTCTAGGGACCCAGCTGAAAGGGCCGCTGGCTGCTGGCGTGGCTGCAGTGGCTGATGGGTAGTTAGCTGACATTGGGGCAACAACCTGTGAGGAATCCAGAATTAGACCAAATAGTGGATGGAGAAATGATGAACACATGATAAAGGAATGACATGTATGAATGGATGCATGCTTCATTGATGTTCACTAGGACAAAGTGTGCAGCATATATAGAAACATAGAGACATACTGATCAAACAGCAGCACAGTATCAAATGAAGACGGCAACAAAGATGTTGCTTTTTACAAGTTCTGTTGTGAACAGATCAGAAAACTGACCAAAATGGTTCATGTACCAAAAACCTTCTGTCAGTAAAACTGTGCAATAAAGTCAAATTCACCCAAACAAAGTTTTGTTACTCTCTAAGGAGAACGTAAAGTTAGAGACAATATATTTACTTTGACTTGTGCATATAAACTGTGATCAAAAAAAATAGCTTACCGTGCCTCATTCAATCTTATAGAAATGTATTTTAATAAACAAGATGTTTAAAGATGTGAGTATATCTGTATAATCATTATCACTTCTATTACTTTTGAGAATTTTCATTTTTCCGTTTCCCTTCTCACCTTCCCAGTAGTCTCTTTCTTGTTTTTAGGCGTCTTTGTTTTTCTCTCTTTCTTCATGCGTTCAGTTGGAGGAGCCAGATACTCTGGTGGGAAGGGCATCTGCCCAACACACACACAGGCCCCAAATTGCCAATTGAGCCACACATATACACAAGCATGGGCAATTTAAAAAGACAAGCACAAACACACACAAAAAAAAAAAACACAGAAAAATGATCAATGAAAACAAAAAACAAAGGAAGAGATAAAACAAATGAGCAAAATGACAAAAAAAATCAAATCATATAAATAAAGGTGAATATAAAGGAATTATGTCCGCTGATGAGGAAATGAAAGTGGAAGCAATGTTTCTGTTTCTGTCCACGCTTATATGAGAAATGGATACAAAATGATTTTATCTGACAGGCCATCAGACTACTGATGATGGTGTAAATTTTGGTTTTGATGATGGTTTTAATTACCTTTTTATAGACTTTCAGCTTCTTGTTTTCACTTGATGTACTCTTGTATTTCATATAGTACGTTGTTTTTAATGTCTGAGTGTTACTGCCAGTGGTTCTATATGTTTTTTTTTGTTTTGTTTTTTTCTGGCTGCAAAACTAATTTCCTCTTGGGGACCATAAAGTTGAAGGTGAAGATGACAGCTTACAGTGTTGAGGTAGGGTCCAGAGCCTGAGGACTGAAGGGGATTTACACCAGAACGGGACAGCAGGGAGAGATGAGGGGAGGATGATGAGGGTAGACACGCCCCAGGACTACTCCTTCGCCTGAAAAATAAGAAGGCAAAATGATAAAGTTAAGACAAAGTGAGCCGGCTGGCTACGAGAGCACGAGCAGCAGTCAGACAAATATTTTGTCCACATTGATGCATTTAGCTGAATAGTCACACCAAGCAGGCCTTATTATTAAATGCCTCCCTTTCACTATGTTTGTGTTGAAGTCTCATGTTTAAGTGAGGTCAAGAGAAAACTAGCTTTAGCAAGGATGCCTTATACTTGATAACACATAATGACTTGTTGTAAGATGGATTTCAATCATGGAACATTTGATCTATGATAGATTGTTAGCTGCTTTTTAACAACTATCTGTTTATAGTGACAATTAAATAATGTTAGAATCCCGTGGATGTCAGCCTGTATGTAAGAGCGTGCATAAAGGTTCTGCCTGTCAATACAATTCTACAATTCACTTAGCAGACGCTTTTATCCAAAGCGAAGTACATCAGAGAGTAAGTACAACACAAGCAAGGATCTAGAAAAAAAGGGAACAATGTCAGTAAGAGCAAACGATCAGCTTTGAGTCCGATTGGACACACAGGTGCTGACAGGAAGTGACCAGAGGCAAAGCACAACATTGACGGCAGTTCTTGAGAGCTCTAATCAGTATAGAACAGAACAGTACAGACAACAGAGCTCAGACTACAAACGGACCCTCACGAACAGATTCTACATTTCTATGTTTAATCTGTTCATAGAGATTAGATGGTGTTTAACTGCCAGAGTTGACAGTAAGTCTGTCTAACAGGATTTTTAAAGACACAAAAGCCATCTTACTTCTTTGCGCCGTCTCTTTCCCTCTCCCTGGGGCCTTCTCCTTCACTGTTTTCTGAAGAAACTGTAGCATCTGAATCTGGAACACAGGAGAAGAAAATATGAACCAACGATACATTTTATTGGTCAGAACTCATGATAAAAAAAAAAATAAAAATCCAAGCCCACACCAGTAATTAACAGATTAAAACTGTAACACGTACCTGATGAGTCTTCATCTACCCTCTCATACTGTAGCAATCTGTCTAGGAGGAAGCTAGAAAACAATTGAGTGATGCTGTTATTGATCATGTGCACACCATTGTTCACTATCAAAACAGTTTCACAAACAAACACTGCTACTCCACCTCTTGTCTCTTGAAACTTTGAGAAGTTTTCTCTGTGATCTCCTCAGCTCCTCCTGAAAGCATTCCTGTTCCTGACAACAAGAACACGGAACAGGTAAGCCCTGTGACTTACACCGTAACATTATTGATCAAAACAATAACAAAACGCACATCCAATTCGGCTGCACTCACATAAACAAGAAATTTTAATTTTCGCTTGAGATTTTTATATTTCCTCTTGTAGTCGACTTCGAGGTCCGCTTGTCCGTTCATCTCTGAAACACAAGCAAGGAGTAAAGAAACAACACAACATGCAGTCTGTTCTGCACTAAAACACTGGATGTTGTTTTCTCAGGGGGAAAAGTAATGTTGCACCGGCGTGTAGGGGAAAAAAACAGCATGAAATACTGAATGCTAAGTTAGCCAAGCTAGTGGGATAGTTATCTTACCATTATATTATAGCTCGCTAAAGATACGGGGGCAACT